ACCCCTGTTCAGGAGGGCAGCATGGATGGCCAGGTCCAGGGGCTGCCAGGCCTGGGGGTGGAGGTGGGGTGCAGAGCCCCTATGGGACCCTCTCCTACTTCTAGAGAGGAGCTTCAAGAGTCAAGTGGGGAGGGCTGTCCTACCAGGGTAACTTCTCTGGGGAACCCAGCCTCCACCTGGGCCAGGGCTACCCATCTACCTGCCGTATCCTCTCTGTACACATGACTTGGGGGTTAAGACTGGTATCAGGACTCAAAATACCGAATAAGCCAGCACCAGAGTTCAGTCTTGGGTTCTGCACATGCAGGCCACACATACGCTAATGTGTGTTACATATTGCTGCTTACACATACATGTGTACATGTAACATGTGTGAGCATGCACAGAATCTTACACCAAGAAACACAAATACCCCGTCAACAGCCTGCCCCAGGACGCCACGGCCTAGGCCTCAGGCTCTGTCCTACTCAGGCTACTTCCTGGGGCCATGAGTTCCAATGAGCCACCTGCCTCAGCCAACATCTCCAACTTTTCCCTTTCTAAGGAGAAGAGTGTCACAGCGGAGTGTGGCTATTGACTCTAGAGGCCACAGCCCGCCCATAGCTTCTTCCCACCGGCTGTGGAAAGGGGTACAAGAGACCACAAAGCAAGCTTATCTGTTCGCTGCCCCTAATTTGAATATAAAATCAGAGTGGGCTTCTGGATGTAGGAAAATTGAGCTACACTAGGGCTCAACTGCCCCCACGATACCCCCTGGCCTCTCCTCTCATGCCCGGCAGCCATCTTGGCTGGCTTCCCTCCCAGGCAGCCTTCTCTCAAGGGGAACACTATGGCCCTCTCCAGGCCTAACTCCTCATGGCAGGATAGCACAGTATCTAGGAAACCTGAAAAGGCCCCATCTTCTCAGTGCTGAGACTCCCCTCATGTTCACCTAAGCACTGTTTGCCAAGCCAAGCTCTGGCCTCAGTTCTCAGTGGCTGGGACAGCAGGGACTGGCAGCTGCCTGGCCCTGGCTCACATGGGCAGACACATGGGATGGATGTTTTCCCCCTCGTCCCCCACGTGCTTCTCTTAGGAACGGCATCCAACATCCCTATGCCAGGGCTGGGCTGTCACCCGAGTGCTCTAGAGGCCTTTCTCTCTGAGCCTGGGCTGCAAAGAGGAGACTTCATCACCAGATCCAGAACCCAAAAGAGTGGCCCAGGCTCCCAAAGCCCCGGAAATGCAGCCGAGAGCAGCTGGTGCTGGCGGAACAGGTTCCTCTGTAAGATCATCAGGGAGATGGGGCCCTCAGCTTGGGGTGGGGGCTTGGCCCTCCCTGTCCGCCTGGAGTCTCCTGACCTCCACAGTATCCTGTCCCCTCAGAGCAAGCATCCTCCTGTGGGGAAACACAGTGGTCACCTCGACCTCACTCCCTGAAGCCATGGTGAGCACCCTGGGCGCCCCAGCACCCCCGCCTCCCCCAGGGGCCTGTTTCCTGGAGTTGTGAGAGAATGCCAGGGGTTCAGGAGGCGCTGACCCGCCTGGATCTTAATGAGGGGAACCTACCAGGGCCAGGTCTGCACGTCCCTCTGGGGGCTCTGGAGACCCCCGTGGAGGAAGAGGGAGGTGAAGAGTTGACAATGTTCCTATCTGTGCTGGTCAGGACCAGGGGCTGAGGGACAGGGGTTTCTTGGGAACCAGGGAGCCCCATGCAGAAGCTGAAACCTAAGAGGCAGATCCTTCCAAATGGAGGGGACGGATGGCCACTGCTTCCTTGTTCTCTCTCACCTACCACCTCCCCTACGTTCTCACCTTTCTAGGGATTGGGTGAGGGGTGAGGTGTGGGGTGGTGCTCGGACTGTCTGAGCCTTTTCTTACCAGAGAAAAGCACTCAGCCAAAGGCGCACACACTCGTACATGCGGCCCAGTCCAGGGCCGCCACCTCAACTCTGCATCCTGGGCCAGGCAGCCTGGCTAGGTTCCTAGACTCTGCAATGGGAGGAACACCGTGCCCCTTCCTTCTCCATGTGCCCCATCAGCCAGAGCCCACAAGCCCAGCTCCAGCTCAGCCCACTCTCCAGGGCACCTCTGAGGCCATGGCAACTGCTGGTGGCCTGGTACCACCTTCGCCACCACCGAGAAACACAGATTTCCCCCGAGAAGTGGAGTCTGGGGTCTGGAGAGACCCTTGCATCCCGTGAGCAGGGAGACAGTGAGGGGTATGGAGGAAGGGACGAGGGTTGACGGCTCCACCAGGCTGTGGAGACCACGCCATTGACTATCTACTCACAGGCACGCACAGAACACAAGAGAAATCAACCCAGCTTCTTCACGGGCAGAAGGAAGGGGACGGGGAACGTGAAGGGGTCCACCGGGGTCCCCGCCAAGTTGGATGAAAACACACTCACGCGACCATCAGGATGGAGGCCGAGTTCCCATGCCAACCACCTCCCGACACAAACAGCAGGGCCCAACATGCTTCCTAGTCAGTCAGGGCTCCAGGAGACAGCCCGGGAAAAGAACCTGAGTTTTCTAAGCCTGCAGGTAAAAAAAAAATCAGGTATGCTATTGGCATAAAGCCAGCCATCTGAGGAAGGAAGGGGACCCTGGATGGCAAGCAGGGAGTTACATCCACCCAGCGGGCCCAGATCATCAGACACGAGAACATTCCAGAAGGCAGGCCATTTTGTCAAAAAGAAATTCAAGTCCTCCTCTCTCTGTACCATTGTCCCCTCCAAATAAAACAAGAGTGTCCGGTGCCTCGGATGTGGAAACTGGAGTGGGGAAGGGCAGGGCCCAGCTTTCAAGGGCGCCAGGGTAAGGGGCAGCGGCAGGGAACCAGGATGTGAACCACAGTGGGCCCTCGACACCTTCCTGGCTCAGGCTCCTGGCTGCTGGTTTTGTTTTCTCGCAAGTCAGGTGTGCGTGGGGCGGGGGTGGTGGTGTCCAGTCAGCTTCTCTACTCATTGTATTGCCTATATACTTGAATTAAAAATATACGGTGGCTCATGGCGTGCGTGCCTGGCCAACTCGGGGCGAGGCCTTTGTCCACGCACGGCGCACACACACGGTATATATTAACATATATATTGCTCAAGTATATATGCTATTTACAGAATATATCTATATCAACATAAAACACAGGTATTTCTATGTGTGTACAAGAGCTACGTCCTAGGGGTCTGGGACAGAAGACTTGGAGGCACGGGGCGACACTTGCATGGGGGGGAGGGATGGCAGAGCAGTGCCGCGATCGGGTCGTGGACGGGACGGAGCTGAGGCGCGCCACGGAGAACCGAGGCCTGACAGGGACAGGGGCGCGGGGCTCCAGCCACAGCCCTGTCCCCTCTGCCCCCTCCCTTTGGGAACAGCAGACAATTTACAAGTTTTGGTTGTTTTTGTGCAAAATGAATTGACTTAAAATAAAAAAAGGGGTGGGGTGAGCTCCTGATCTGTGCTTAGGGCCCTCGGCATCTGTAAGAGTCTGATACACACTCTCCACTGGGTGGGCGTCCAGGATCCCAGGCAGCTCTGGGCTCATGCCAGCCCCTCCCCTGACCACAGCCCAGGCCCTTCTCCTCTGGCCTTCCCAGGGTGCATCTGGGGTACCCCAGCAGGCCCTCCCGGTCCTATACTCGCAGGAAGCACCCCTGCCCCCATCGGGCAAGGGCTGTCTGTTCCCACCCCGCGACCCCAAGCGCTGCTGCCCTGGGTCCCCTCAGACTCCCACCCTGCATGCAGGCAGAAATATGGCTGCCTGGGCCCCTACTACTGTGGCAGGCTGGGCGGCCATGTGTGGGCGCCACGGGGCACAGCTCTCTTGGGACAGCTTCCCTCTCAGAAAAGGGTGGCCCTGTCGCAGCTCCCGGTTCTCATGCTCGTACCTGGAGCCACAAGGGCTCAGCTTAAGAGATGCCAGAGCACTCTGGGCCCCCACCCCCCGAAACAGAAACTGCTACCAACAGCAGCCGGGCGCAAACACATTAAATAAAAAAGTAAAGCAAGGTACGGACGGCTTCCTCTTTAAGGCTCAGTTAAGCTGCCTCCAGGTCAAGTACTCATGAATGCCAGTCCCCACTTGGAGGGAGGGCAGTAGGTGAGGGGGGCTGGGGCCTTTCACGCCCCCGAAGTGGAGCGGCGCAGGGGAGGGTGACGGACCGGGTTTCCTATGCTGGTCTAGTCAACTGTTGGGGAGATGGAGATTACCTAAGAGACCCCAGGCCCACTCCCTGAATGCTGGGGGATACCTCACATGGGGAAGTCGAGGCTCCGCCTGCCCAAGGGTCCAGGGAGAGCAGAGGAGGCAGGAACCCAAGGCCCTGCTGCTGGGCCTTCTGGGACCCCAGCCGTGGAGTGAGTGCTTGTGGGGACGGTGCCTGGACAGGGCCCCTCGTGGCCGTCCTGCTGGGAGTTAGGTGCAGGCCTGTGGTTGATGGGTGAGGTGCTGGGCATCCCCCCTCCCCCCACCCGTGCCCATCAGCACCTCTGCAGCCTCTCTGACCCGAGGAGGGCGGCCCACTGGCCTCCACTCGGGAACCAGCCCTGAACTGATGGACAGAGACCAGCGAGCTCAGTGTTCAGCCCTCCACAGTGGGGCTTCCCAGCCTCTACACACTAGGCCCCCTCCGCCAGCCCCCAAGATGGGCGGAGATCTGAGCCCCCAGCCCTGCCGGAGCCTGGCCCTTTGGCATCTGCCTGCTGGTGTGGGCGCGAGAAGGTGGCTGCTCACCAGTGGCCTGGGACTAAGAAACCATTTTTGGGGGGCGGGGCGGGGGGCTGCTGGAGGAGGCAGGCAGTTCTCAGGAGGGTCCGGGGGCTCTGCAAAGGTAGGGGGCATGGGGAGGAGGCCTTGGCGTGGGCCCCAGGCCTGGAGGAGTCAGTGGCTGGGAAAGTGTCCCAGAAGCCCCTTGCCTGGGGTCCCTGGGGCCAATTTTCCAGTCTGTCAGAAATACTGCAAGAACAATCTTCGGGGGGGGGGGGGGACTGGAGCCTGGGTCGGGGAGCAGATGGGGTGCTGCCTAATGCTTTTCAGCTTGACTGACTTTCAGGGCGCCAATGACTCCGTTGATGTTTTCTTCTGGTACCTGTGAGGGGCAGGAAGTGGAGACCCGTGAGCCCTGGTCCGGCGCCCCCAGCGTGGCCCCGGCCCAGAGCGGGACACTCACCAGTGCGTGGTCAAACTTGAAAGTACTGATGTAGTAGGCGGGGATGTCTGCGGCGGCCAAGGGCTCGGAGATCTGGGCCACGATCCCACACTCGTCTGGGGAGAGAGGTGGGTGTGGCACTCAGCCCCCAGGTGGCCTGCTCTCCTAGGACGCCCAGCCAGCATGCCCTCCGCCCCTCCGCCTACAGCCACCACTTCCCCAGAGTCTCCCCTTGAAGGCTCTGCTCTCGGGTCCTGCCTCAATTCCCTGGGCCAGCTAGCTGTCAGCTCTCATCTGCAGCACTCCACAGGGCCCGTCCCACCCACTGTGACCACCCTCTGCCCAGGCTGTGCGTGCACTGCAGACCCAGCGTCCCCGATCCTCTGGGCGCTCTCTGTAGGCAGAGCAGGGGGGCAGTGGGGTGCAGCATTGAGGACCCAGGTCATCGCACCCTCTTCTCAACTCCACCCTGGCTTTTCTGGTTAATAAACCAACAAAGCAAACTGGATGCCATCAAGTCGCCTCAGATTTGGGGCGAGCCTGCATGTCCAAGCAGAACGGGGTTTTCAATGGCTGGTTTGTCAAGTCGACGGCCAAGCCCTTCTTCTGAGGCACCTCTGGGCAAACGCCAGCCTTTCAGTTACTAACCGAGCACTTAACCATACACATGCTGCTCGGTGACTCCGACCAGGCAACAGCCCCTCTTCAAGGCATATCTGACACTGAGGAGGCTGGTGAGACTGCGACTTGATTACCTTTGGACCAGTCATCAGGAAAGACCATGTACCGGAGAAGGATGCCTGTGTTTGGTAAAGTAGAGGGCCAGTGAGAGCCAAGAAAACCCTCAAGGAGGAGGATGGACACCGATGCCACGGCAGTGGCCCCCAACATACCAAGGGCTGTGGAGACGGCACGGGACTGGGCAACGCTTTGTTCTGTTACACTCCAGGACCCCAAGTCGCACGACTCCAGGACCCCTAACCCAACAACAAGGGCAGTATCTGGCTGTGGCCGGGACATGAGCTCCTTCTCTCACCAGGACTCCTGAAGCAGGGCTCTGACACTTGCTGCCTCAGGCTACACAGACAGTAAGGTGGTACTGCGCTTTCCTGGGTGGGTTTATACCCCATCTCCCTGATTTCAAGAGACAAGGTTTCCTACTACAGGAAGGCCTCCAGGATCTGAGAGGCACTCTTCTCACAACAGGTTTTGAGGAAAATATACTCAGTATAATAATAGCAAGGAAGCCTGATGGCTCAGTGGTTAAGCGCTTGGTTGCTAACTGGCAGGTCGGAGGTTCAACCCACCAACAGCTCCATAGGGGAAAGATAGTCAGCTTCCATGAACGTTTACATCCTTGGAAACCCTGTGAGGCGGATCACTCTGTCTTACGGAGTCGCTGTAAGTCTGAGATGTCGTGATGGCAATGGAGATATTACAGAAAACAAAAAGTCAGGGTGAAGGGCTATCACTACGCTGTTGCTGGCTGCTGCCACGTGGGCCCCCCACTCATGGCGACCCCATGCAGAGTGGAACAAAAGCCTGCCTGGCCCTGGCCATGCCCACGGTCAGCTCTGGCCTGGATTTTCATGACCCATAGGGTTCTCAGTGGCTGGCTTTAAGAAGTCAGTCAGTAGGCCTTTCTCCCTGGTCTTAATCTGGAAGCTCTGTTGGAACTCGTTCAGAATCCAGCTACATGCAGCCTCCACTGACAGGTGGCGGGGCTGTGCATGAGGTACACTGGCCAGGACTTGAATCCAGGTCTCCCACATGGAAGCCAATAATTCCACCCGTGAGGCACCGGTGCTCCCGCATGTTGCCACAAGGCTGTTTAAACCAAAAGAAAATCTCCTTGTTTGAATTTACCTGCAAATACTAGACAACGCACATCCCCTTGGCTGTTTCCTAAAGGCTGGTGCTTTCCATTAGGAAAGCCCCCACTGCCCCAAAATGAGGGTGTGGTACCGACTGTCATCACTGCGCCCTGGAGCCCGAAGCCTGGGAGAGAACCGGGACCTCACCCTCCCTTCACCCTCAAGCCCAGCACCCCCTTCACTCCCTGGTCCAGCTCTCACTACCACCCCTGGGCCTGAGCTGGAAGGCCAGGCAGGGCTGCCAGGAGCCCCTGGCTGGACCCATAGGCCCTTAGGTGGCCATGCAGGCTTTGTGCCCTGAGCTGCTGGCCAGACCCCTTTACTGTGTGGTAAACTACAGCCTGAAGTGTGGATTACACGTCAACATAAAAAAGAAAGAAAGAAAGAAAGTCCTCACAATTGGACCAATAAGCAGCATCGTGATAAAAGAAGAAAAGACTGAAGTTATCAAAGATTTCATATTACTTGGTTCCACAATTAACACCAATGGAAGCAGCAGTCAAGATATCAGATGACGTACTGCACTGGGCAAATCTGCTGCAAAAGACCTCGTTCAAGTGCTGAAGAGCAAAGACGTCTCTGTGAAGGCTGAGGTGCGCCTGAGCCAAGCCATGGTGTTTCAATCGCCTCGCATGAATGTGGAAGCTGGACAATGAATAATGAAGCCTGAAGAAGAGGTGATGGTTTTGAGTTGTGGTGCCGGCGAAGGACGCTGAAGGTAATGGACTGGCAGAAGAACGGACACATCTGTCCTGGAGAAGTGCAGCCGGAATGCTCCTTGGAAGTGAGAATGGCTAGACTTGGTCTCACCTACTGTGGTCATGTTGTCAGAAGGGACCATTCCCTGCAGAAGGATATCATGCTTGGTAGGGTGGAGGGTCAGTGAAAAAAGGGAAGGCCCTCAATGAGCTGGATTGACACAGTGGCTGCAACGATGAGCTCAGGTCTAGCAAGGATTGTGAGCCTGGGACAGGACCAGGCAGAGTTTCGTTCTGTTGTACACAAGATTGCTGTGAGGCAGAGCCAACTCGATGGCACCTAACACCAACTAGAGGCTGGCCATGTTGCCAAGATAGCTTTAGCTGGAGAAATAGCTGTCTCGGAAAAAGGAAGGGGATGGCCAGGGTCTTTCTAGGGTCCAACCAGTTGCCATGAGTAGATTCCAGCTCACAGCGACCCCATGAGCATCAGAAAACGGTGCTCTGCAGGGTTTACGATGGCTGACCGATTGGGAACAGATTGCCAGGCCTTTCTTTAACATGCTCTGGGCAGCTTTGAGCCTTAACCATCTGCACCACCAGGGACTCCAAGTAGGGTCTAGAGCAGGGTTACTCCAAGGTATGAAATCAGCTGAGGAGGCTGGTGATCAGTGTCTCATAAAATGACAAGGGACAATCCAAGGGCAGCACAGCACGTAGCCAGATAAATGTGTGAACCTTCAGTTTTTGTTGTTTGCATGTGTACTGGGTTGTGATGGAAAGTACTATTTGTCGAGACCATGGTCGAAAACACAAGGATCCACCAGCCTAGACTCTTTCAGGTTCTAAGTTATGTTTCTTGCAGGACTATTTAGAGCTCCAAGTATGTCCTTAAATGCCTTCACATCCTGGGAAGGAAGGCAAGTCTTGCTGATGTCCAAGGAACCAACCCAGACTGTGGCCAGCCAAGTGTCACCCACCACCCCACCTTTATTCTCCTGTTCCTGTTTTCTGGTCACATAATTTTCCTGAGTGCATTTTGATAAACTGTCTTAAACCTGCTTTATGTTTATTATGCTAAAATATGTATGATGTAAAATTTGCCATTTAAATTTTACTTTTAAATTTTCTTTTGGTGTTGTTGAGAATATACAACAGCAAAACATACACCAATTCAACTGTTTCTATATGTACAATTTAGTGCCACTGATTATAATTTTTGAGCTGTGCGACCATTCACATCTTACTTTTCTGAGATGTTCCTCTTTCATGACCATAAACTCACTGCCCTCTAAGGTTCTTATCTTTTGAGGTGCTGTTGTCACTTGGATCCTATGTAGATAGTTCTTAAAAGAGCATACTGCCCAAGGCAGACCTTTTTCAATAGTTAAGCTCAACTATTCTTGGTTTTAAGAAGACTTCAGGGAATAATTTTGGTTTAAGGTTTAAAGATTATCTCAAGGCAATAGTTTCAAGGACTGTTACATTCCATGGCTCCAGAAAGCCTCAAGTCCGTGAGAATTTGAAATTCTGCTCCACATTTCTCCCCTTTTGACCTTGATTCTTCTTTAGAATCTTTGATGAAAATGTTCAGTGATGATAGCTGGACACCATCCACTTCTGGTCTCATGGCAAAGGAGGCCACTGTTCGTGGAGGCGATAAGCCACACATTCCACGCCCTCTTCCTATTCTTGACTCTCCTTCATCTGTTGCTAAGGTGAATAGAGATGAATCGAGTGCACTGGATGGCTGCTTGCAAGCCCTTCAGACCTCAGGTACTACAACGAACCAGGAGGTAGAACAAAAGTACTACACACTCTACTAGGCCAATTAACTGGGATGGTCCATGAAACTATGACCCTAAATCTCCAAACCAAGGAATCAAATCCCATGAAGTGTTTGGTTGCAGCCTCAGCAGCTGCTCTTTTATTTGCCATTGTCATAAATGTATCTATCACACAACTCTTGCCAATTCAGCTTTTTATAGGTGTACGACTTATTGACAGCAACCACAATAATCAGTTGTGCAGCCCTACCCTGAATCCACGAGATTTTTAAATCACTGTGAATCCCCCCTTTTCCCTCTCTCCTGCCCCTGGTGACCACTAATAAACTTTGGTCTCTACACACATTTGCCTTTTCTTGTCTTTTTATATAAGTGAGATCACACAATCTTTGTCGTTTTGCGACGGATTTATTTCACTTTGCATAACATCTTCACACTCCATCCACACTGTAGCATGGACTTCATTTCTCCTGCTCCCTAAGTAAGACTTCATTGTATGGATGGACCACGTGTTGGTTATCTGTTCATCTGTCGATGGGCATTTCAGTTGTTTCTACCTTTTGGCTACTGTGCACAGTGCTGCAATGAACACTGGTATACAAGTCTCTATTTGAGTCTCTGCTTTCAAGTCTTATGGGTATCTACCTGGGAGCAGAATTGCTGGGTCACATGGTTCTTCTTTTATTGTTTTGAGGAACAGCCACACCGTTTCCCATAGCAGTTGTACCATTTGGCATTCTTATCAGCTTGGATCAGGGTTCCAGTTTCCCTGCGTCCTTGCCAACCCTTGTTGTTTCCTGTTATTTCATTTGAATTGATCTTCGCCATCCGAGTGGAAGCATGACAATATCTCACTGTGGTTTTGATTGGCATCTCTGATGGCTAATGAGGCTGACCATCTTTTCATACGTTTGGGAGCCATGTGAACGGTCCCTTTGGTGAAACGTCTACTCAAGCTCCTTGCCCATTTTGTGATTTAGCTACCTGCCTTTTTGCTGTTAAGTTGTTGTGCCATCAGAGTTCCCTCAGTTGTTGAAGTTTATATATATTTTGGTTATTAGACTCTTATCAGGTATATGGTTTCTGATGATATTCTCTCAGTTGGTAGCTTGCCTCTTCATTTTTTTGGTAAAGTGTTTTGATGAACAAAAGTTTTTGATTTTTACAAAGTCCCATTTATTTGTCTTTCGTTGCTTGTACTTTTGTTATTGTATTAGCTAATCCACTGCTGAAAGCCAGGCTGGACAGTGTTGCCCCTGCATTTTGTTTGAACGATTTTATGGTTTCATTTAGGTCCTTGATCCACTTTGAATGTCTTTGTGATGGTGCTAGGAGCTCTGGTAGCACAGTGCCTAAGGAATCAGACTGCTAACCAGAAGGTTGGTGGTTCAAACCCATCAGCTACTCTGTGGAAGCAAGACCGGGCAATCTACTTCTGTAAAGATTTACCACCTCAGAAACCCAATGGGGATTGCTGTGAGTTGGAATCAACTCGACGGCAGTGGGTCTGGATTTTGTATGGTGTGAGGCAGGGATCCGGTTTCATTTTTTTGTATATGGAAATCTAACTTTCCCAGTGCCATTTATTGAAGAGATTTTTATCTCTCCATGAAATGGACTTGGCACCCTTGTCAAAAATCAACTGACCGTAGATGCTTTTGGTTTATTTCTGGACTCTCAGTTCTATTCCACTGTCTATGCATCTGTTGTTAGACCAGTACCAGGCTGTTCTGATTACAGCAGATATACCAAACCCCCTCCAAAAAAATCACTGCTGCCAAGTCTGATCTGACTCATAGAGACTCCTCCTTGGGTTTCTGAGGCAGTATCACTATGGAAAAGCAGATTGCCCAATCTTCCTTCTGAGGAGCAGCTGGTGGGTTTGAACTGCCAGCCTTCTGGTTAGCATCAAGTGCCTTAGGTACTACGCCACCAGAGCTCCCTATAACAGATTTACAGTAAGTTTAAAAATCAGTAAGTGTAAGTCTTCCTACTTTGTCCTTCTCTTTCAGCATTGCTGTAGCTATCAGGGGCTCTTGTCATTTCACATCACGTTGAGGACTGGGTTTTCTATTTCTGTAAATAGGGATTTGATTGGAATTGTGTTGACTCTATAGATTGCTTTGGGCAGTATTGCCTTCTTAAGAATATTAAGTCTTCCAAACCAGAAACCAGATTACCTCTCCATTTATTTTAGTCTTCTTAATCTCTTTCAAAGGAGCTCTGGTGGCACAGTGGGTGAGGCTGCTAACCAGGTGGTCGGTGGTTCAAACCCACCAGACGCTCCGTGGGAGGAAGACAAGGCAATCTACTACCACAAAGGTTTACAGTCTTGGAAACCTCATGGGGTCACTGTGAGCTGGAACCGACTTGATGGCAGTGAGGATGGTAACTCTATGTTTAACTTTTCGGGTAACCACCAAACGGTTTTCCAGCACTTCAGAATCCCTGGGGACCAAAGCTGGGAACAGATAAGCCAGTGTGTATGTCTTCTTGCATCTCACCCGTGTCTTTGCAAATTAATTGCCCACGGGCTTCCCAGTGACCTGACCCCTTCCCTCTCCACTTTCAGGTCTTTTGTGATGACTCCCTCTGACTTTAGGATAAAATCGAGAAGGAGCCTTTACTCTGGCCTTCAAGACCCTGCTGCACCGGCATGCTACAGCCTGGTCATGCTCCTCTCCCACCCTTTCCACTTTGGACTTGGCACCCTGGGCCCAGCTGCCCTGAGCCACCTCTGTGGTGTGGACAAGCCTCCATGCCTGTGCCTTTGCTGCTCCTGTGCTGGGATAGCCCTCCCTGCCCTCTCCTCTCCCTGTGCCCGATGAGCTTTGATCGATCCTTCAGCAGGCAGCTCTGGAGCCACCTCTTCTGGGAAGCCTTCCCTTTCTGACCTTCTTTTAGCCACTCTTAGTCCTTACACATGGCAACGACAATAACTTAGGCTCAGAGACTTCACCGCACTGAACACTGCATGTGCTACATGCATGTGATACCCCATGCCATATGTGTGTGACACTGTACCATACATGCGTGTGACACCTGTGCCATATGAATGTGTGATACCCTGTCATAAACAAGCTCAGAATGACGCAATGAGGTGGGTCGTAACTGAGGCTCAGTTAAGTCAGTCACTGAGGGCACACTGGTTCTCCCAGCCTCGTTCAGTGGTGAGCTTCTCCAGGCTATAATGTCTATGTCTCTGATCCTGCCCCATGCTGTGAATGGGGTTGGATAAATGCTGAGACCCATGGAAGAGGCCCTGAGACACACACTGGTCCAAGGATGGGACCGAGGGCCTTCAGCGTGCACATCCTAGCACTGCAGGGAACAGGCGTCTGTCCCTGACCCTCGGGCTGGCCCTGGTTGTTGCCTCCCTCGCTGTGACAGGAGTTAGGGGACATGGTCTGGGATGGAGTCCTTGGGTAGTACAAATGGTTAACAAACTTGAATGCTAACTGAGAGGCTGGAGATGCAGAGGCACTCAGGTGCCCTGGAAGAAAGGGCTGGTAATCTAAAACCCAGCCATCGACAACCCTCCAATTCACAGAGAGGTCTCTGATCCACCGCCCACCAGAGGGATGGCACGGGACCAGTGTGGGGTCGCCAGGAACTGGCACCAACACCTTGGCAGGTAACAACAACTCTACAGCGGGGGCATCACCCTGTGGTTGACTCTCGCTCGTCTGGTCCTCTGAGGCTCGTGCATGCCTGCCAGACACAATCAAAGGACTGTGGGCAATGGGAGGGTCCGACTCTCTAAGACTGTCTCCAGCTATAGCCACCAAGTAGTGACCTGCCACGTGGAGGCCCTGGGCAGGCTTGCCCAGCCTTGGTGTTGAACCCCGCATGGCTCACCAAATCCCAGGGGCTGGCCTCCGATCCGCACCATCTTCCAGAGCTCGCCGGACGCACTTGTGAACAACAAATTACTAGGAAACCTTAGGAGGAAGGAAAAGACCCCCACGTTAACTGTGATCCTGCCCCACGGACATCCCTGCCTTCTGGGTGCTGGCTGGATTCTACCTGTCCCCAGAGGGACAGAGCTCAGGGGCCCCAAAGGACTGTACCCTTCCTGACCCCTCACTCCTCTCAGCCCACTTGCTCTGGCCCTCTTCGTCTTGGGGGCAGGTGGGCAGGAAAGGTGGTGAATGGGGCTGGGGTATAGGACAAACAGCCTTCTGCTCAACTGTTCAATGCCCTTCAAGCTCCACAGAGAACACTCAGGCCTGAGGCCACAGTTCAAATCCTGGCTCTGTCATCAAGCCCCTTAGACAACTCCCTCAGCTTCCGAGTTCCAACAGCCTTACTTGGAAGGGCTGTGTGAGTGTGTGTGATGGGAGGAGGGTGTGGCATCCCCAGCACGGGGCCCGGCTCACCTCTGCTGGGTCTGCACATCCATCACCAGGGAGATGTAGCCTTCGATGAGGGAGAAGGAGAAGAAGCGGATGTGGCCACAGTCGTCACCGGCAGCCATCGGGTCCTTCACTCTGGGGGTCAGAGGAGCTGTGAGGGAGCCGGGCCCTCACTGAACCCCCACCTCCACCCAGCTGCCTCTCTGGCCTGTCGGCCTCGGCGTGAGCTTGCTGGGAAGAGCGCCTACTGGGGACACCCAGGGCCGAGTCCTGGCCCTGAGCCGCCTTGCTGGGTGAGCCTGAGCCCGTGTCCCCCTCGGTCCGCTCGCCTGTGAGACGGGGACAATGGCACTGCGTCTGTTGAGGCGAGCACAGCACCTAACATGCTGGAGGGCGAGTGGCCCCGTCCGCGGGAGGTGTCTGCCCTCACGTATGTCCACATCTCAGGGTCACGGTCTGTGGTCCCTGCCAGCTGGGCAGACCTGGGACCCATCCCACTTGGTGCTGGCCTCACCATAACAAACTGCCCTGAGACACAGAATCTGTCGTCACTGAGTGAAAACCCTAGTTCCCAGCTCCTCACCTGACTGGGCTTGTACTCAGAGCCCAGGGACAGTGGGGTATTTATTACATCCAAGGGTGTGTGGTGTTTTACCGCCCTTTGGGATTCCTGGGGTGGCATCTGAGGACAGGTGGCGCCTGACGGGGGAGGGTGTGAGGGGTTGGGGGCATGGCGCCTGACAGGGGGTGGCGTCTGAGGTGGGGGCTGCTTCTGAGGGGGGTGGTGTCTCACTAGCTCTTCAGGCAGGGCAATGTCTCCCCTCTCAGACTAGCTCTGGGGGCAGGGTGGTGTGTTGTCCCTCGGACTGCCTCCCCACCCCACTTCAAATCTGTGTCTCCTATCAGCCCACCCTATCGGCCCAAGGGTGCTGGAGGTGAGTGCAGGCGCTGGGGCCCTCCCCGGCTGCCCCTACCCATTGGAGTAGAACATGACGTCCATGAGGAGTGTGGCAACAGCAGGCAGCGTGTCGGGGTCCAGGCTGGTGACACAGAACCTGTTGCTCGGGCTGGACAGGGGGTGGATGACTGGCCTCTGAACTGAAAAAGTGCAGAAACAACGGGGCAGCTGAAGCTGGCGGGAGGGGAGACGCATGGGCCCAGGAAGCAAGGTCAGTGTTGGCTCTCCGGGCTTGCTTGCGGCCTCCAGGCCACTGCCCACGTTATGCTGCCAGCCTGGAATGCCCTCCTGGCCCGCCCCTCCTGGCTTAGCTCCCACGGTGCTCCAAGCTTCAGCACCACTCTCACTGCCTCTGCGAAGCCTCCCCCGCCCTTAGGTGGGGGTGGCCTCTGGCCATCACTGCCGTTTCTACCTCCACCTTCCTGCTGAACCAGCTATTCCTTGGGAGAGGTCTGACTGGGAGGGACCGCTGCACCATGCCTGGTGCTCTAGGATGGCCGGTGGATGCAGCTGGACCTCTGGGGCAGGGCCCAGGAGCTCCTGGAGGCCTCTCCAGCACAAAGGCCCGCACTCACCCAACTTGGGCTTCACAAAGCCATTGGTGATGCCGAGGTTGTCAGCTGCCACTGTCTCCCCATTGACGACCCGCAGGATGGTGAATTCTGATGACAATGTGTGGGTGACGAAAGGCAGATCCCGTTCACGCACCTGGGGAGGGAAGTCAACGCGAATGCCCCCTGGCCCCAGGAAGGTGGGCCTGGGGGCACTGACCCCTTGATTCTGAGATTCTGTCCCACCACCGGCTTCAGCTCTCCTCTTTGCCTCCTGCCTTCCTGTGGTGGGAGATGGGAGGAACTGGGAGGGCAGGAGGGACAGTGGTGGGAGACACCACACCAAGGCCCGGAGCTGCAGGTCTGTGCCCTGACTCCACCCTCAGGAATGTGGTGCCCAGGCCAGTCCCTGCCCCTCTCAGACCTCAGGCCCGTTAGAGAAGAACACAGACAACAGGTGGCCAGGCAGCTGCCGCATTACCGCGGGACACTCACTGTCATGATGGGGGTGGGGTGCCACCAAGTGTTCTGCTGGGGGTACCTGGCCCATGTGCTCCCAGCCCTCTTACTTCCCGGCTCTAGGTCAAACCAATCCAAGGCCCAAGAAAAAGGCAGGTAAGTGGGGCAGACACTTGAAGCCCAGCCTGGGGCCGGCTGAGGCCACTGGTGACCTTGAAGTACCCTTAACCTCCCTCTGGAGTGATGAGATGGTGGCCACCAGCTGTGCAGAGTGGGCTCTCAAAGCAAGCCACCATCCAGGGTGCTGGGACATGGCTGGGGCGCATGGGTGAGGGGTGTGTACGTGAGGGGTTGTGAGTGCAGGTGGTGGGAGGGGACGTGTCAGTGTGTGAGGGAGGGGCTGTGTAAAAGGGTGTGCAACAAGAGGGAGTATGTGTGCAGTATTGCATGAGTATGTATGCAAGAAGGTGGGAGTGTCAGGAGAGGTGTATATGCACGAGGAACATGTGTGTCAGGAGGAGTGTGTGTGCAAGGGGGGCGTGTGCATGGGGGGAGCGTGTGTATAAGGGGAGCATGTGTGTACAGGGAGCACGTGTGCAGGGGGACCGTGGGCTCCAGCGGCATGAAGACACACGCCCCACAGACACTGCATCCTTAGAGCCTGCAGGTTTGTGGCAACCCTGCATCATGCCAGTCAGCTGGTGCCATCTCTCCAGCAGCACGTGCTCACTATGTGTGCCTACGTCCCACTTTGGTAATTCCTACCACATTCCGAACCTTTTCACCCTGCTGTCGCACACGTTACTTCTACAGGACAGTGTACACATAACTTTTACACGCACCAGGAAACCAGAAAATCTGTGTGAGTCACTTTATTGCCATTTTCACTCTTTCAGAACAGTCTAGAACTGAACCTGCAGCATCTCCAAGGTCTACGTCTGTCATGGGGGTTGAGTGTGTGTGTGTGTGTGTGTGTGCGCGAGAGCAATGTGTGTGAGTGGGTGAGAGGACCGACACATGGAAGGAGAAGTGTGTGGGCGAGGAGGGGTCTGTGTATATGAGGACGAGAGTGGGTGAGGGTTGCAAGGGTGAACGTGTCGGAGTGTGTGTGTGAGCAGAAGTGTGCAAGTAGTGTATGCAAGGAGGGGTGTGTGTATGCCAAGGGGAGTGTGTCTGAGGGTGTGAGTGAGTGTGTGAGGGAAGGCACATGTAAGGGGCATGTCACGAGGAGCAGGGGTGCCCATGTGGAAGAATGTACCCGTGACATTGTCTGAGCGCTTGCCTGTGTGACGTGCAGCTGTGACTCACCAGGATGAAGTCCGTCTGGTAGGTGGACAGCATGAACACGGAGATGTTCTGATCAGCCAGCGGGGCTATGACTGACTTGGCGATCTTGGTTACACCAATGGGCTGGGAGCTGGAGAAGCTGCCGCCGCCTGACACCACATTCAGGGCCAGCCAGGTAGCATCTGCTACGCTCAAGTGGTCCGAGGAGGGCAGCTCTGGAGGGGACAGAGAAGGGAGCTCTGTTACTGCTGGGGCCCCAGGCTGAGACAGGCCACAGAGGCAGGGACTGAAGCTCTGGGGCCAGCTCCACCACTCAAGATGTGCTGTGTGACCCTGACCAATTTCCTCCCCTCTCTGGGCCTTAATTCCCTCACTGTAAAAGGAAGATGGCATTGCCTCAGAGATCCCTTCCTCAGACAACTCAGGATGTGCCAGGCAGCACAGTGACCACAGTATACACAAGAGGCTGCCGTGCTCTGCGCCTCAGTTTCCTCAGTAAAATGGAGGGGACAGGCTAGGTTCTCACAAGGATGGAGTCGTCAGTAATGACTTTCCCTCTCAGCCCTTCCGTGTATCGGGTGCTGCTGTCAGGCCCATCATGCCAGGTGGGACTGACTCTGGTTTCCAAACTGGGTTCCCGGGGACCTCCGCGGGGGCTGGGGGTGGGAGGGGAGGCAGGAGAGGCCAGGGCGGGGCCTGGGGTTCTCCTCTCTGCTTCAACCAGGCCGGCACTTTGGCTTCTCTGGGACAACCCACAGCTCCAGGAGGGCTCCTGAGATGGCTACATTCTGGAGAGCAGTGACAGTCACCAAGTCCCTCCTCAGAGCCCAGGGGTCCTGGGGCAGCACTGGCATGGGAAGGTCAGAGGGACAATGACCCCCAGGACCCACCCTCAGACCGTGTCTCCTGCACATGGGACAGGGGTCTACACGTATGCATGTGTCTCCACATGCACACAGCCACCGATCCGGCACTGGCTGCACACAAGCCTTGGTCATGTGTCAGTAAGGACCTGTTGAAACCCACCCACACCAGGCCCAGGGGTGGGGCCCAAGGCACTGGGTGGGCCAACCATAAGCCCATCACCCACCAGGGCCTGAGAGTCAGAAGATTATCATGCCCAAAGTCCACCTGGCAACCAGAAGTTTCAAAAGGGTCACTTTGACAGGGGCTGACAGAGGCAGGGTTCAAACCCGGGCCTGACTAGAAGGCCCATGCTCTGTCCTGGGCACCCAACAGGAAGAAGGACTAAGTCCCCAAGAAGGGGGCTGGGTCCAGAAAATGGGCCCCAGAGAGGGGCCAGCTAAGGGGGGCTCTGCTGAGGGTGTGGACGGCCCAGGGAAGACCAGCTGGGCATTGCTGGCCTCAGGCAAGATGGCTTCCTAGGGAAGGAATGATGCGGACCCATCCAGGCTCCTACCTGCCCAGTTCTGGTTGCCATGGTGACCACAGGCTAACGAGCCCATTGGTCCTACTGGCTGACAAGGGCCGGTCACTGGCCAGTGGGTGGGTGGCGATGCCAAGATATGGCACAGAAAAGGGAAAAGGCTGAGGAGGGAGTGAGTGAGGGAGGGAAGGCTTCCAAGAGCCCCCCTCTGTGTTTGCGTCTTCTCTGTCATACAGGACGCCAGCAGAGCCATCTCAGTCAGAGTCACCAGAGGAAGCAAGCTCCCCAGATGCTTGTGAGCCAGCTCAATGCTGCACGTCTGAGCATCCAGGGGACCCGAGTCCCTGGACGGCACAAATGGCTAAGTGCTTGGCTGCTAAACAAGAGGCTGACGGTTCAAATCTGCCCGGGGTACCTCAACAGCAGCTGCTTCGGTCTCGGTTCCTGGCAATGAGGGGACTTCCGGGGGTGGGTGTGGGTTCCCGTCTCACCTCTGGTGTGCCAGCAGAGAAAGACCCAGGGGCCACAGACAGCCAGGGTGCTCTATGTTCCAGTCCTTGCTAGATGGCTGGCCCCCAACCCAGGCGCCAACTCCAACCCTCCCTGCAATCCTGCATGCCATGCGGGCGTCACCCGGCCCCAAGAGCAAGTGACACCAAAGCCGTCACTTCAATATACTCAAGGAAGAAATTTCCTTTCAGGAAAACAAACCCTTAAAGCCTTCTGGGAAGGCACGGATAGTGCTAGGCGTGTCCTTGTGTATTCAATCAGAGAACCACAGTGGCTTTGCGATGCACCCTCAGCCCTGTCTGGTCCTCACCCCAAATTGCCTGGTGACTTCCCGGCCCCTTTCCATCCAATGAGAGCCACACACCTGATGGTGTCCCAGACCGGCACTGCCAGAACTCTCTGTGAGGATGGAAACACTCTTTTCTGCACTGTCTCCACAAGTGGCCACGGAGCACCTGAAGGTTGACTGGTGCAACTGAAGAGTGGAATTTCCAAATTTAGAATTTTTCTTTTTTTTGTATTATGGTAAAATATACACAGTTGCCCCTTGAACAGCACAGGAGCTGGGAAACAGTGACCCCTGTGCAGTCGAAAACTCCTGTTAACTTTTGACTCTCCACTGTGCTATTTCTGTCATGGCAGCACCAGTTCATTGAGACAGGCCAGCCAGTTACAAGTGCCAATCCTTCTCTGGGGACGTGCTGAAAGGAGTTGCTGACAAGCAGGGGAGGTGTGTCCCTCTCAGCCTGTGAAACGCCGGGGGTGCATTTTCCAGGGGTGCTTGATTCTCCCTGCAGGTCTGGAGGAGTCGTGGGGCTTAGGAGCAAAGCCTGGGTCAGCAGACACGGGGACGAGGAGCAGCAGCGGGACCTGGCAGCGAACACGCAGGCCGCCTCCGCTCTGGAGGAGTCCATGTTAGATGTGCCGGCCTGAGTCTCAGGGTCGCTCAGACAGGCCCTCCGCGGCCCCGCTGTGCTGTTCTCAGGCCGGCTGTGAGGGCAGCCAGCCGAGGCATGGAGCCCACCATGCTGAAACTTCTGGAAGGGCAGCAAGGGCTGGAGACCACCGTGCATGCTGCTTCTCGGCCCTGAGCCTCGGACGCTGCCGGAGTTTTGGGGAGGGAAGGTCTGTCTGGGCCTGATCTTCACCAGAAGCTAAGCCTCAAGATGCCTGAGGTGCTGCCTTGGGGATGAGCCACTGGGAGTCAGGCCAGGAAGCAGCAAGCTTGCTCTTCCCGAGAGGAAAAGTGGACCCCCTCCAAGGCTGAAATGGATTATTTCTGTCACAGCCCATTGCCCTGGGCCCTAAATATAGCCTCTCGGAGCCGAGGCCTCTCCCTGGTTGAGGAAGCCACGGTGTCTCGCCGGTGCCAGCTACAACGTCTGGATGCTGTATTGCTAGGCAGGGTCTGCTAGATGCTCCCCTCTTAGGGCTCACTGTTACCCCCAAGGAAACGCCCATCCCAGCGGCAGGACCCTCAGGTCTCTAACTGGCCATGACCTTGGCACCAAGCCCGTATTTGTCGGCTTCCACCCTGCCTGAGGGATCAGTCCCCGACTCAGGCGGCCCCGCTCTGCTCTGGCACAGTCTGGAGGTGTGACCTTGGGCAAAGTCATTGTCCCTTGGTTTCTTAGTTTCCAGATCCCTCATTTTTGAATGTGGGATGATGAAATCAGGATCGACTCCAGAGGACGCTTTGAGGATTAAATGAGATAAGCCCCAGCCAGTGTTGAGCTGAGTGCCTTTGTTCCTGGTATTCAACCAATGCCAGGGGCGTTTTATCATGATGCTGCTGGGGGTCATTCTGGGGCTTAGCGGTTTTTGGATGCCAGCTGGGCGAAATGTATCAAAAACCCAAACTCAAACCTCAAGCCAGTTGCCATGGAGTCGATTCCAACTCATGGCCACCCGACATGTGTCAGAGCAGAACTGTGCTCCACAGGGTGGTGGTGGTGGTGGTGGTGGTGTTACATGCCGTCGAGTTGGACCTGACTCACAGCGACTCCTCATTGGGTTTCCGAGGCGGTATCACTACGGAAGTAGATTGCACAGCCTTCCTTCCAAGGAGTGGCTGGTGGGTTTGAACCACCAGCCTTCTGGTTAGCATTCCAGTGCCTTAGGCACCCCACCACCAGGGCTCCTCCACAGGGTATGAGTGGCTGATTTTTCAGAAGCACATCCTCAGGTCCTTCTTCCGAGGTCCTTTAGGTGGAACTCAAATCTCCAATCTTGTGGTTAGCAGTCAAGGGCTAAGCTGTGTGCATCACTCAGGGCAGACAAAATGTATCACGTTTTTAAAACAGGCAACGTCCTTTTTGGCTTGTGGCTTGGAGGAGGTCTTGCATTGGTCGTCCCACATCTGGACTCATTTGACACCAGCTATCCCTGTCATGTTGCCTGGGTTTGGCCCCAATGAGCTCAAAGTCATGGACCTGAGGTGCACTGTGGGAGGGCTGATGCATTCTCTGCCCTGGTCCCTAAGGTCGGCCTCCTGGGTCTGTGATGGTATTGTGACAGGAAGGGCCTAAGGATTATGGAGAAACTGACCAGACTGAGCTGGGACTTCCTATCTCTGCCCTAATCATAAAAACATTTGCACCGTGAGAAGAACACTTGAGATCAGACTGTTAACACTGCCTGACAGATGTGGCACTGATCTTAGCCAGAGAACTCTCCGGAACCAAGAAAGAGATCCCGGGACTACCCTGCTGATGGCTGCAATCGTCATGACATCAGTGACGACATTAACTCGTGAGCCAGGAAAACAGATCATAAAGGATAATGTGATTTTTAAAAAAGTGCAAGTTCACTGTAAAACAGTGATTACATGTGGAAAACAACATTTGACGAGTGCGATGGTTAAAGTTTTGTGTCAACCTGGCTAGACCATGATTCTCAGTGGTTTCACACAGCAGCCAATCAGGTGAAAGGGGAGTTTCCTTCAGGGTGTGGCCTGCATCCAACATACTTGGATGTTCTGGCAAAACGTGCCCTTCTTGATCCTGCGTCCGACCCATCATCCTCTGACCTGAGTTCCTGGGACAAGAGCCGGCAGCCTGCTTGCAGTGCTTATTGGTTCAGCTGTGAGGTTTTTTGTTTTCTTTATGTTCAGCTGTAATCCATACTGTAGACGGTAGTGTTTTATCTTCATCAGCAAGTGCTTCAAGTCATCGTCACTTTCAGCAAGCAAGGTTGTGTCATCTGCATTTGCATATAGCATATATTAATGACTCTGCCTCCGATCCTGATGCCACGTTCTTCTTCATATAGTCCAGCTTCTCAGATTATTTGCTCAGCATACAGATTGAGTAAGTATGG